AAGAAGAGGCTGGAAATATCAAAAGGTAATTGGCCTGAAGAATTGCCAGGAGTATTGTGGGCTTATAGAACCACAACAAAAACAGCCACGGGAGAAACTCCATTTTCTTGTGTATGGTTCAGAAGCTTTAATCCCAGTTGAAATAGGAGAACCAAGCACGAGATTCACATTGGCAACGGAAGAGTCGAATGATGAGGAGTTAAGAACAAACTTGGACTTACTCGAACAAAGAAGAGAAGCAGCTCTAATACGAATGGCAGCACAAAAGCAAATCATAGAACGATACTACAACAGAAAGACTCACCTCAGGTACTTCAAAATTGGGGACTTCGTTCGTAAAAAAGTTTTTCAATCAACGAAAATAACCGGAGCATGAAAGTTAAATCCAAATTGGGAAGGACCTTATAAAGTTCGAGGTATTGCTAGAAAAGGTGCCTACGAGTTAGAAACCATGGATGACAAGGTTTTACCCTCGAGATGGAATGTTGTTCACTTAAAGAAATACTATTTCTGAGCGAAAAAAATACCCACGGTCAGGTATCGTTTAATTACAATTTTTATTTTGTACAATTAAGATTATACTAACAATTTTAGATGATAGACAAAAAGCTAGCCCACACCAAATGATGATATTAGACCTAAAGGACATGCGGAAGAAACATTATTCCCGGTCTAGGGTTGCAACCTTTCTAATGGAAATATAAAGGGTTAAGCAGTCATCNTATTTATGAAGAATACACACGTGGATGTAAATTCCAAAATGTTACGAATGTTTAGGTTAAAGGCAATATTAGTCATGGGTTGCAAGATATACCCTTGAATTTTACAAAATCTGTTGTAAAGAAAACAGTTACGAAAGAGTTATAGATGATACTTGAATACATGTAAAGTATTATACAATTTGAAAGTTCGAATGATATAAAACTTCCTCAAAGTTATTCAAAGAAATGTGTGAGTTCCTATTTCTTATTTCGTATGATTAAACCATTATGAAGTTGAGACGTCTTCTTTATTAAGTGTCATTTATAAAAGGGCCCTCTTTTATAATTCATGCATGTTCAAAAAGCCACGAAGTATTGAAGCATTTTTAAATGCAGAGTAGAACAGAAACTCAAAGTGAAATATTATATAAACCCGATTAAAACTAAGTGTAAACTTAGTTCAAACCAAAGTATTTGATATTAAACCCGAAAATAGATCAGGGGTAAAGCTTGCCAACTATTCCGCCAATAATAAACAAATACAATAAACTTTTCAGACACAAGTTCACTCTGGGGCAGATTCTAAAGTAATACTATCAGCAGCAGGAGAAGTCAAGATGGCATCATCATCAGCAGCAGAAGGTTCGACTTGAGCAAGAGAGATTTGAACACTAACTTCACCAGAAGTAAGTTCTTCACCCCCGGGAATGCGGACCTCAGGTGAAGAAAATTTTTGACTCTGCTGAGTTTTTTCAATGGTTTCCTTAGTTTTTGCAATCTCAGCAGTGAAGTCAAAACCATCCTGGTTAGCCTCCATCAAAGTCTCGAGGCGCGTGTTCAAGAAAGCCCAGCTTACATCAAGAGTTGATTTATCCTCAAGGGCCTCATAATCCCTCTCCCATTGCTCAATTTCGGCCTCCAACTCTGCTTTTTCAGTCAAAGCAGCATCATAAGAAGTTTGTAAAGGGGCGAGTGATCTCTCTAAGAACTGGATCTTGTTAGATGATGCACATAGGTCTTCTTGAGCCTGAGTGAGCATTTGAACAAGCTCCCCGGCATAGACTTCCTTCTGATTAAGTAGTTCTTTCAGACCCCTAATTTCCTTAGTAGCTTTAGAAAGCTGCTCGGCAAATGAAGATTCAAGTATGTCTCTATCCTTGACCATTTAACTGGAAAAAGCTTTTTCAATCGCCAATTCTGCTGCCAGCATTTTCACCTGTTGTTCCAAAGCACATTTTTCCTCATCTAAAACTTCTTTTTCTAACTGAAGGCCTTTAAATTGTTCTTTCCAGTTGTCCGCTTCCATATGATAGTCGTTGACTAACTGTTCAGTATGGACAATTCTCTTCATCAGCTCTGTGCCTATCAGGCTGATCTACAAAAGAAAAGGAAGAAGTGATTATCAAACAAAGATAAAGAAATCACATGTAAAATAAAAAGCTAAGGCTTATACCTTTAAAGATGAATGGACAATGTCATTCATCCATGTCAAAGAGCCGTGGTTTTCTAATTTAGACTTCTCAACTGGGCCAATCAGCAATTTTAGCCATACATCAGCTTGGCCAGACTTTTTCAAAAGATTACCATCCGCAGGGACTTCAATGGTAACTTTTTTCATCCTCCTACTGCTACCGGGAGAGCCAACTTCAACATGAGAAGTGGTAGCAATAGGGATAGTTGAGGAAGTAAAAATAGCCAGAGAGGAGCAATGGCAGCAACAACAGGCGCGGGAAACTGAGAACCAATAGGAATGGACACTGGGAAGGAGGCAAGGGGTGCTTCCTCAGAAACTAAGCCAAAATCTTCACTATCAAACCCTTGGGAAAACAACTGCTCTGTAGAATTATGAGGTGCAGCAATCATCTCTTCATCAGAGCTCACCAAAGTGGCAGTTTCAGGCTCATTCACGGGAACTGAACTTGGAGGAGGAGTGGCTTCATCATCCTAAACAACACGTCTCTTAGCCCGAGGCTTACGCACTAAAGAGCCCTCCTCTCGTTCCTCTTTACCCTCAGAAACATGAGATCTCTCTACTTTTCTCTTTGATGAAGAACTAAAAATCATCTCTTGAGCCATGGACTAAGAAAGTCTTGATGAAGTAATAGACGTGGCACTAACACCCCTTATGGGAAACCCTATCAGAAGAAGAAGTTAGTAAATCTCCAAATAAATATGAAAGAAAGGTAGAAAGTTAAAGGGGAGCATACCATGAGTTTTAACTTTCCAACCAAACCTATGAGAAAGGTATTTCCAAGACCTTCCTTCCATAGGAGCAACCGACAATAATTTTTCTACCCAAGCACGGAAGTCTGGTATTTCTTCAATAATTTCCACGGTTGCTAAAAAGGAAAAAAAAAACAGCCACGGGATCGGAAGTTACTTCTTCCTTCATAAAAGAGAAGAAAGATATCTAAAAAAAAACTTATGTGCAAAGTTCTATTTTTCTGGAAAGGGCATGTTCTCTTCACCCACTAAATCACTTGTGGGAGCAGCAATAAAATGAGCATACCAGCCACGATCTTTATCATCTTTAGGGCTAACCAAAACCCTTTTGCTCCTAGCCACGAGAGTAAACACCCCTGAACGAAACAACTTAGGGGAATAAAGATGAAGCAAATGCTGAAAGGCGAAGTGTAAAGAGGCCGAATTAGCCAGGTATCTTAAACATGCAACAACTCTCCATACAATAGGACCAATCTGTCCTAAGAAAACGTTAAAGAAACGGCAAAATTCTATGATGGCTGGGTCAATAGGTGGTCTAAAACCTAATGTAAAAGGATATGTATAAATGAAAGAGTAACCAGCTTGAAACGAAGTAATCCTTTGGTTTGGAACAAGAACTAAAATTGAAAAGCCGAATTTCCAATGGCATTCTCTTCGCACAAAAGAAATCAAATCCTTAGTAATCTGGGAAGGATAAACATCGGCAGGATCATGGGAAGTCATAGAAGTTACTTGATTTCTAATTGATTCTCGATCAGTAGAGAAAAAAATTCTTCAGGAATAATTTCATCAACAGTTGGTTCTTGAATAGGTTCACTCGAATTCCTATTTCTAGCAGAAGATCTATGAGTTGAAGAAGCCCTAGTTTTAGAAGAAGAAGGGGTAGTAACGTTAGTTTGAGAAATAGAACCACGAATGGATATAGATCCTAAACTACATAATCTACCGCTCCTACAGGAGCAGTTGAAAGGGAAAATTCATCTACAATTACTACTCTGCGAGGATCGGGGTTTGATGAAGATATGGTTATACGAGAAAATAATATTTGCTGAAGAACAAGAACGATTAAAGAAGAAGACACTGTAGATTGAAGGTTTTGTGAAACTAAAAGTGAATGATGCAGCCGCAAGAAAGCCTTAAAAATCGCTAAAGAATCGTAGACCCAATCGACAAAGGCCACGTAGCACATACATTAAATGGAAGTGACATGCGAAGCGATGGTTCTGAAGAAGATGCAATGATATATGGGAAACGGCGGCAAACAATTCCCGCCATAAATATGTGCCACTTCCTAAATATTCCATTGCAGAATATTCGGCAAGTGGGGGGACTATCTGTATTGGTAAAAACTAAATATTACACGTGGAATTATATGAGGATGATAGGGCAAGATACGTGGATTACTAAGAAGATGACAACTGGAGAGTCACATTAAAAGAGTTGCGATTTACAACCGGTACGATCAAATCACTCACGAGATGAAAATGTACGGTTGTCCGAGCCTAAATTATTCAGTGAAAAGACACATGCAGGATGAATCAATACAGTAAAGAGGGAAGATTCATGAACCTTAAATTAATGTGGAAGAAGAATCGAAACCATTACAGAATCTTCATGAACATGTACCGTTGCCGATTGTAACGTTTCATTAATGTCATTAATGCTCATAATGATTCTGTCATAAAAGGGAAGAAACGTTATATTTGTAAATTCCTATATAAGGGAAGGGAATTTCACTTGTAAGGACACGTTCTAATGAACATTGGAATATAATTATTTTCTTGTGCTTTCTATTGATTACTTTGCCATTTCTGATTCCGATCTCCTTTCTTATATTTGAGAGAATATTAAATTTCTTAATTATCAGTAACCCGAGTACCTATAAAAATAGGTTTTGACGTAGAATATAATTCTTTGGTTAAACAATGTCCAAATATAAAAGAGTACTGTGTTTTGTGCGAATAAAATTTCTCTGCATCCACGTTTGAATACTTAGCCACCAATAATAAAAAATAATACTACCAACAACCAAAGAACAGATCTTCCTGCCGGCCATATTTATTTTTCTTTTTTATTAATGGGATTGGTCCCACATATAATGGATAATATATTATCCTAGCCTCTATAATTGAGGTTTAGCCATTTGTAGAAGGCGGAGAGGTAGAATATGAACAGAGGGAGATCAAGTGATCAATCTACAAAAGTAAAGATCGAAAGGGTTGCAGAACCGGGTATGCTCTCATTTTCTTCACTATATTGATGTTTAAGAAGCTATATTACTAACAGATTTAAACATATGATCCTATATATTAGTGAAATCTCTCTGTTTTGTCAAATTTTCTATCCTTAGTTTTCTTTAATGTTTTAGTTTAAAAGTTGCTAGTGAATTAACGTTATTTACACGTTATAATATGTATTTTAAGAAAAAAGATCATCCAATCGAAGCTTATGCTATGTTTTATTGTTATAGATCCATGGTCATTAAGTCGAACTATGCAAATTATTATTCAAGATGATACCTATAGAGACATGATTAATTGGGATTCATTACCAAAATCATTTTTACCCCCCAATTTTAAACTCGAGGACAGTGGCCTTTCAGAATCAAAAGCTTTTATCCTAATGGTTGAACCAGATGACTGCATAGCTGCAGTTAAAGCGTATATTCAAGAAGAAAAGGAGATTCCATTTAAGAAACAGAAGCTATTGAATAAAGATGGGGGAGTTTTAAGAGATTCACAGACTCTTCTTTCTGCGGAAATCAAGCAAGGTTCTACCTTAATCCTTCGATATGCACCAATAACACAAATCTCTGTGAAAATGCTAACTGGACGCACTATATGGTTAATGGTTGAGGGTGATGATACCGTTGCAGATGTTAAGGCTGTAATTCAAGAAAAGGAGGGAATTAGGTTTCATAAACAGAGGTTACTCTACGATGGACGAATATTAGAAGATGACAAGCTTCTTGTCCACTGCGGAATTCAGTATGACAGTATTTTGGATCTTCTCTTAAGCTTGTGCGGTTGTTGAATATTGCACAAACTGGCAAGGATATATACAGGATTATGTTTTTTTTAATTGACTTTTAGTAGATTTTCCAGCAGTTGTTGAACAACTTCCAGCATAATGTTTGGTAAGTTCCGTTGGAGCTAAGCATGGATCGATTATCCTTTTCAATCAATTTGTTATCACTTTCTTTGTCCGTTTACACTTGTTGGTTTAGATCTGCTACTACCTCAGGTATTTTTGAAATATATTGTTTATGACTTTTTGGCTAATCCATTAAGAATTATTACTGTTTTAGGTTCTTTTGTTTAGGGATTGACACACCTATTAAAAAATACACTTAAAGTACAACCCACAGATATATATTGTAACTAGCTAGCCTATTGTAACGACCTGACCGGTCGTTTTGGGAAGTAGCGCCCCGTTTGGCAGCTTAAGGTCTCGAGTAGAGGTGGGCGTCAGTCGATTATTATGAAAGTACGGTTCGGTTTATCGGTTTTCGGTTTTGTAATATTAATAACCAAATCAAACCAAAGTATTTACAGTTCGGTGCGGTTTTTTCAAGGTTCGGTTCGGTTATTTCCAGTTTAATTTTTCGGTTATTAACGGTTCAAATTTTTTATATCTGATGTATACTATGGATCTTTAGGTCGGCCTCTGGCTAGCAGTTATAGCTAAATAAAATTGCAAAGAAAAGCTTTTTCCCTTCCAATTTTCATATGAAAATCAGAAAGCTGTAATAGTGACTAATCTCTTTGGCATGTATTCTCATACAGAAAATGAAAATACAAACTAAGAGATACACCTACACCATTTATGTAACTGAATATAAATAGACGTGCCACCGAAAGATTTCAGACGTGCCATTAAATACTTCAAACAAGAAAATAAGCAAACACAGTTCAGCTAAAACTCGCAGCTACCAAAGTCCAAAACAAGTCTAGAAATACCATCACCAAACAACAAAACAGTGGCAAACTAATCACAAGCCACAAGCCACAAAATAAGTCTAGAAAAGGATACTTAAAGTTTTAAATACGAATCACTGGATGAGGCATGAGACATTTCTTAATATGCTTCACTAAGCCAAAAGTGCCATAATACTTCGGATGACAATTATAAACTCGACTACAATGAAGACACTTTACTTTGCGAGCTTCTTCATTTACTTCAACTAGCTCAAAATCTTCCCAAATAGGCGATCTAGCTTTAGGACCACGAGGCATAGTTGAACCTACAAAAAAAAGAAGAAAAGATCACAAGTTAATAAGATATTTTTAATTATAAATAACAAAAGGAATAAAGGATATCATATAAACTTACCACTTGTTCAAACTATGCATCAACAATGCTAGTATCTCTTTCAACAATGCAAGTTTCTCTTCCGCTCTTTGCCATATCTAAATATAATTTGATAAAATGTATCATTTAAACTTACAAAGTAAACTAATTTTCACTAAAACACTCATAAAACGCAAAATCTTACCAAGTTAAATTTGCTCAAGAAACTCCAAATATTCTTCAACATTAATAGGAGTACCCTCACATCTAAACTAATCTTGAACACAAACAAGACTTTGCACCAATCGACGAGTCAATGAACTCCTAAATGAATCAAGAATGCGGCCATCGGGGCTAAATGCACATTCCGATGCAACACTTGAAATTGGAATGGCTAATACATCACGAGTTAGCTCAGATAGAATAGGAAATCGAGGCGCATTAATTTTCCACCAATCAACATTTTAAAGTCATCAGAATCATCAGACAATGACTCTTGTCCTTCACCAATATATCTTTCCAACTCAGATTTAGCACCTACACTTCCGTAGTCTTCCTTTTGCCTTTTCAATAATTGCTTTGTTCTCACAAAATTTGTTCTCCCATTCCCACTAGATGAATCGGATGTGTCATCAGATGAAGTAAATTTAGATTGAGATGATTGAAGATAACATCCTTTGGAATATTTTTTTTATACTCCCCAAACAAAGAATTCAAATAAGCATCCACTTCGACAGTTAATTTCTTCCTTGGTTCCTCCCCGAATATTTTCTCAAGTGCAAAACTATCATACGCTAATTTGTTATGAGGATCTAATACAGAAGCAATGAATATCTTTTTATTCATCTTTTCAAGTTCACCCCAATATTTTTTAAACTTCTCTTTCATCTTCCCTGTCATCTTACTCAAATTAGTATCATCACTAGCTAAATAAGCTTTCAAATGACTATCAAGCTCACATATATCCTCAAAATGACAATTAGAAGTGACATAACGTGAACCTGAAACTTTTTCGGTGAGCTCATGAAATCTTTCAAGAAACTTTATCACGTTTCTCACATTCACCCAATCATTACCTACAAATGGACTTGCAACATTCCCATCCTCACAAACATGTGTAGAAATATGAGAAGAAAATCTATCATAAAAAAATGAAGCTTGTCAAAGGCCTTCTCAAAGTTTTGCGCTGTTTCCAACATCAAGTAGGTGGAATTCCACCTAGTAGGAACATCCAAACACAATGTTATGCTACATTCTACCTCTTGATGTGCACAACATTCCCTAAACTTTAAGGTCCTTTGCGGAGATGATCTCACATACCTCACAATTTGTCAAACACGTTTTACAGAAATATCAATTTCCTTCAAACCATCTTTCACAATTAAATTAAGTATGTAAGCCATACAACTCACATGAAGATGCTTACCACTCATCGAATTAGTTTTCCACGTATTTAGTTGTTTATATAATTCTTTGACCGTGACATCATTCGAAGAAGCATTATCAATAGTGAGAGTGAATACCTTATCCAATTTCCATTCAAGAAAACAATTATCAATAACTTTTGCCATTTTGTCACCCTTATGACTAGAGATAGGGAAAAAATTTAGTATTCTTTTATGCAACACCCACTCTCTATCAATAAAATGACTCGTCAAACACATATAGTTAATTCTTTGTAACGAAGTCCATGTGTCTATGGTAAGGCACATATTTGGTTTTACTTCTCTGAAATTTTTCATTAGTTTAAGCCTCTCTTCACTGTAAACTTGAAAACAATCCCTTATAATTGTCCTACGAGAAGGAACATTAATTAGAGGTTGGGCTATGCTCATAAACTTTTTAAAACCTTTCTTTTCAACAAATCTAAAAGGTAATTCCTCCGTAATTACCATCTCAACTAAAGCCCTCCTAACTAGTTCTTGATTAAATTTCCAAAGCACCCCATCATTAATTTGCCCATCCTTTTATAAACACAATTGTGTTTGAGTATTATCAACTTTCCGTGGTATTTTTGGACACTTTTTTAAATGAGTATTCAATGATTTTGTTCCATTCAATCGTGAATCAGCCTTATAATCATGACCATAATGTTTACACTTTGCTCTATCACCTCCATTATCATCTTAAACTTTTCAAAAGGATCCCAAGCAGTTGATCTACATTGTACGAATTTTCTATTTTTTGGGCCTTAACTAGTTTCAACTGAATTTGTAGGTGAAGAAGTGGGTTCGCTTTCAGATGAACCCACCACACTTACTCTACTTTCAACTTCTGCCATCTATAGAAATAACTCTTGCATTTATAAGTGTTGAAGGTTTTTGGACTGGAAAATCACTATAAATGAGTGAAAATTACAATAGAAAACAAAAAGGGAGTTGGTATTGTCTGAAAATATTCAGAAATAAACTAAGTAGTATTTAACATCCTGTGGTCGTCTTTGTTGATTTACTTCCAATATAAGACTCAACTAAGTAAAAAAAAAAGGGAAGGGGCAAAGTAACTTTTGCACGTCTTCATGAGTGGAGGATCTAATACATTTGTTTGTTTGGTTAAATTGGAAATGAAATATGCATTGATCTTTTGCTTCGCGTATTGAATGGATTAGAACGTTTGAAAAATTGACACAGAAGAGGTACCTTCAGAAGTGTAGTGGAAGGAAAACTCAAAAGAAGGAGGTAACCACTAACTTGAGGAAGAAGGATGAGCGACGAACTAAGGAAGAAGGCATCACAGGGGCGTCGGCAACACTGCAGCAGTCGAACAGAGTGACAGAGGAGGAACCCTAATTTCTAAGGAAGGGAAATGGGAAGTAGCGTAAGTCTTAGTCTGTAGGCTAATTAGGCTTAGGGTTTGGGTAAATTGGGTGGGCTTCAGATGGGTATTGGGCTTCAACCTTGAGATGTGTAACGTAAGTTTTGGACTCATACCCAAAATTTTAATTTTTCGGTTTAACCAAAAATCGAAACATCAAAACCGTAAAATGCACCGAAAAACTAAAATTTAATAATTTAAAAATCGCACACCGACCGAATAACCGATTAAACCGAAATCGAAAAATCAAAATTCACATTTCGGCCAATTTTTTTGGTTCGGCCGAAATTATGCCCACCCCTAGTCTCGAGAAGCTTCGTAATGTGTATTATGACTTGCGTGCGTGGTCGAGATTGGTTTTCAGATGATTCGAAATTTAATTGAAAGAACAATTCTTATTTTTTAAAGCTTAAATGAAAAGAGTTGACTGGAGTTTGATATTTGCAAACAACTCCTGAATGGAATTTTGATGATTTTAACAGTTTCGTATGTGATTTTGGACTTAGGCGTGGTTCCGAATTTGAATTTGGAGGTCCGTAGGGTAATTTGAAATATTTTGGTGAAAATTGAAAAGTTGAAGTTTTAGAAGGTTGAGAGGTTTGACCGAGAGTTGATTTTTTTGATATCGGGTTTGGATTTTAATTCTGAAAATTGGGACATGTCCATTATATCATTTTTATGACTTGTGTGCAAAATTTAAGGTTAATAGAACTTGATTTGATAAGTTTCGGCACCGAATGTAGAAATTGAAATTTCTTAACTTTCATTAGGCTTGAATTGGGGTGCGATTTGTGATTTTAGTATAGTTTGATGTGAATTGAGGCATCTACTAAGTTCGTATCGTGTTTTAGGACTTGTTGGTATAATTGGTTGGGGTCTCGGGAGGGCTCGAATGTATTTTGGGTGTTATCAAATCATTTTGGGCTACTTTGGATGCTGGTTTTCTAATGTGTGGTTTTGTTCTTCGTGGTTTTGGGCTACTTTGGATGCTAGGATTTTGTTCTTCGCGTTCGCGAAGAGACTCTCACGTTCCCGACGAAGGTATTCATGTTGTCCGTTGTCTCACTTTGGAAGCTTATATCTTGAAATCTATAATGAATTTGGAGATAATACAAAAACAAAAGTTGTAGTCCTTTGTGTCTAATTTTCTGAAAGTTTAACTATTTGTCATTTGGAG